GGGTTTGGCTGGACATGGGCTTAGGTATTCTGCTATTCCATTCTCACATGCACCCCCTTGCAGGCCCAAGCCAATCTGTGGATGCATGGGGTCGAGCGGCTCACAACCGAAGGTGCGTATACGTGGCCACTTCGAAGCACTTTTGATGCGGTCCATGCTGAGATGTTCGATCAGGCACCTTGGACAGCCAGACGGTAGAGATTGCTCGTGCCTGCGGCCTGGTCGACCAAGAGCGGGCAAAGCTCATCAGGCGGACTGCGTGCCAGCATGTTGCAGATGACACAGATGGGCTACACCATGTTTTCAGCTTGCCACCGGTTGGCTTCCTCAAGCTGCTCACGCTTTTGACAAAGAGGTTGCCGGGGTAGCGTGTTGCACATTGCATGCATGACCTAGACGTCTCAGTCACCCATGCTTCGCGGCACGTGCGATTTTACGTTTTCTTGCTGCTGCGCACTGCTGCGCAGGCAGTCAAGCGCGACCTCGTCAAAACTCAGCAGGCAGACAACGCATGCGCTTGCAGCTTATGCGGCACTTGCAAAATCGGCCAAGGAGCGGCTCCTTCAGCGAAAGCCAACATGGCAACGAGAAGTGGCTGCACTTTACCGCAGCATGAGGGCTTTTCTGCCAAGGGCCTTTGGTCATAGTGTTGACCAGCATGTGTCATTCCCCAAACAGTGCTTACACTAAGGCCTACGGTAAGTTAAGGGCAGGTTTGGATCGCGGGCTCAAAGCTTTGACAGTGTGTGTGCGAGTGTGCAAAAAGTTGCCTTCGATGCGACAGTCTCGCACGAAATGCGCCTCATTGCTAAAATGCGTCCTCGCTGTGGTCCATGCGAATTTTACGCATGACATCGGAGGGTTGGAGACGTCGCGCCAAACCCCGTTTTTGCAGGGAGACTCGGAAGTTCGCACTACGACGCGGGGAGCGCTTGGTGAGAAAGCGTCGTAAATGCAGTTGTGCCGGGCAGGTCCGCTGCGCAGGGGGTGTGGGCCTGTCGGGTCAGGGCACGACGCTTGGACAGCGTTTCGCATGAAACGGGCCTATCTTCAAAACTGCGCTTTCGCTGTGGGTCGCGGGTTCGCCCGGCTCAGAAAACGCAGTTCTTGTAGCAATTGCAAGAATACAAGCGGCGAGAATTCCCGCAGCTCTGCCTGCAGAATCGCAAGTTTTGAGAACGTAGGCAGTGTGCCTCCACGCAGCTTCGGCTTCGAGATCACAACTTCCACTTACACAAGTAGCAGACGGAGTGCGCTCTTGCAGCTCGCTGTAGAATCTCATTTTTTGAGCCCTTGACAGTAATGTTCGGAAAGTGTGCCCTTCGCGTCTCGAGCGCGAGAATCGCACCTTTAAAGCGCAAAACAGCACGCGAATTACACTTCCGGATCTTCAGCTCAAAAATGCCGACATGCAAGCGCAAAAGCCGTTTGCGAAGTACACATCCGCAGGAAAAGCCGTCAGCTTCTTTGCGCGCAGACATGGACAAGAGAGGTTGGAAAGAGAAGCGGACATGCGCAAGAGGAGCACCATGCGCAGCATCATGAGCAGCATCGCGCGACATCATGTGCAACTTCATGCGCAGCGTCATGCTCAACATCACCGACGGCATCACGCACGGTTTCACGCGCAGCATCAATTCACAGCATCGCGCGCAAGAGGAGTTTGCAGAAGAAGTTGTGAGAAACATGGTGCTAAGCTTGCTCATCAGAACTTGCAGAAGCTGCGCTTCAGCAGGGACATCGGCGTGCTTGCGGTTGCTCAGGGGAGGTTCCAGAGTTTATTTTCCCGTCCTCCTGGACCAACTTGTCGTCTAGTTAAGACCAAGACTTTTTGGGGTCTCTTGCCGGGATAGTTTGCAGACACAGGCCTCAGGCTGCTATTCCCTTGGGCGCTTTAGCCGCAGCTGCCAAGCAGCACGCGCTCCGATTGTACGGGCAATGCGCCGCTTGTGCAAAGCAATGTTTAGTCAAGAAAAAGGGCGCGGGGCTTTAAGCTCGTGAGAATGCGTTGGCATTTCATGGCCAGGAGCACATTTGGGGCTCAAAGTGTCCGAAAGATGCTGCCTGCACAAGTCCGATCCTCCTGGCTGCTTCGAGCAGCATGTCCCTTGACCGCAAAGCGTGCAACGTAAGACCGCGCTGCCCTTGACATCATCTTGACGCCACGCAGGTGGCATGCTGATGGCAGCTCTCCTGCCTCAAAGCATCAGCTTTGCCTTTGGTGGGGGACGGATGCTTTGGCGGCATGATAAAGCCAGCGCCCAGTGGGCCACTTCAACATGTCGTGCTTGTTGTTGCCGAGGTTGACAGACACGTCCAGGCAGATGGCACAGCGGGCACGGTCCACGGCGCGGCCTGCGTTAGGCACCTTTGAAAGCTTGGCGCAAGCTGACCTGGGAGGTATGGCAGGACGGGCTGCGGATGTAAAGTTGAACTGTCGCACATGAAATGCCAGGGGTGCTTTTTGCCACTTGGGGCATGTGTGGCCGTGTGAGAGCGTTGTCTTGTGCAAGCATGGAAGTCTTCCCTAGCAAGCTCTGTTCATGGCGCCAGGCCTTGCAGATTCTTCCCTCCTCACGGCCTTCTCGGATCAGGCCGGCAACATCAACGGAGTACTTTTCCAAGCGTCCCTCCCCGCTTATTTGGTTTTCCTCTACTTCCTGAGCTACCGGAAGAACAACACTCCACCGCTGGTCTCCTTTGGATTCACCTTCCTGCTCGTGTTTGTGATTTTGACCATCCCGGCTGGCATCATCTCCAAGGGCACCTATGGGGCGATTTTGGCTGACTCAGATTGGCTGCACGGAGGCGCCGAGTCCCTGTTGACGTGCACCAACATTCTCATTGTCCTGGGCTTCAGGGGAGCATTGGAAGGCGATGCAAGCGTGGCAGACAGTCAGCTGGCACGCAACATCGCCTTTTTCTGGATCTTCGCTGTCGTTGTGACGCTGGCTGCTGGAGTGCCTCTTGGCTTCCAGGTGCACACGCCCTTTTTGTCCGGGCTTGGTGATTTGCCAGACGTCATGGAGCCCGCGAATGCCTTGTCTTTGCCAACTTGGATGGTGCATTGGTCAACCGTGTTCGAGTTTTTGTATGCCATGTCTCTGGCATGGACCTATGCGGATGCAAGTGGAAATCCGAAATGGAAGGGGTTGACCTGGGGCATGTTTCCCTCCAGCGTGTCCAGCATTTTTGCCCTGACGTTCCACCTCTTCTACAACCAGATCCCTTGGATCCTCACAGGCCAGGCGCTGTTCACGTGCATAGGCAACTGCACCTTGGCCTTGGCATCCTACCGGATCGCTACGTCCAACGGCTGGACACTATCTGAGTTGGACCCCCGGCGGGTCTTTGCCCGACTGAACCAGGAGGCTGAGACGTCCTTCGAGATCTCCAAGGTCTCCAAGACGGAGGTCCTGTCTGCGCCGCTGCTGGTGGCGGAGGTCTTGGTGCTGAGCCTGGCCTTCAGCCACTTGCACTCGCATCTCAGGAGAGAGAGAGAGAGAGAGAGAGAGGCAGTTGGGGCAGTTGGCTCACTTGGCCTTGGCCAAGCTCCGACTTTTGTGAAGTCTTTGAAGTCGGTTGCGTGAGTTTTTTTGACTGAAGCCAATTGCTGAGCCCCGGATGCCTCATCCAGTGCCCGCAAAGCAACCTCGCAATAGGTATTCACATCGCATGTCATACATTCGCCATTCGGCTCGCTTCTGTAAAGCTTTGCATAGGCCTGTTCAGATGTCGCGGCTTCGACGAGGGCCTTGGCAGCTGGCCGTGCAGGACATCTTCAACGCGCTCTCGTCACCGAAAGCTTCCCTACAGATACTCCAGTAGCGCTCCGTACTCTTAGACATCTCTAGGCCTATTCGGAGATCCCCCAAGTCGCTTAGTCAACTTAAGGTGTGGCTTTGGCATGTGTAGATCTTCTTTTGGATAGCTTTTCTTCTGACTATTGCCATGCAGCTTCCCAGGCTGGACATAGCTGCGCTTGATACGCTGCCTTGCTTTCAGAACTGTTTGAACTCCTAGCCTATCTATAGGTGATCTATGTGTCACAAAGTTCTCTGACCACATTGTGAGGATTCCTTTGGCCGCGGCCCGCAGTTGACCTTTCTCCGGCCCGTTTTCCTTTCACTTTTTGGCGCTCAAAGCTCGCGCCTCTTCTCTCCGCGCAAAGCTGAGGGTCGTTCGGCACACGGGCTTTTTCGTGTAGCTGCTGAGACTGCTGCATTTCCACCCACTTCCGACTCAGCTTGGCTTATATGGTTTCACAACCCGTGTCTCACGTCCTTCCTTCGTCTCTGTCGGGAGGGGAGAATCTGAGGCTACGGCACCAAGTACGGGGAGCTTTCCGGCGCCGTCTCCGGCACCTTCCAATCCCCGGATTCCTCTCTCGCGGCGGCGGCCGTGGTGGTGCTGTCGGCCTCGCTGGTAGCCTACGCCATCTACAGCCAGAGCTCGGACCTGCGCAGTGGTCAGCTGCCGCCTCTGGCGGTGGCGCAAAACACAGCCCCGCGGCTTAAGCCATCGAGGATTCTATTTATGTCATGGTTGATATGATCTTTGTGCATATTTTGTGCTCAATATGCTTAATTAAGCCACAAGCCTTCAGGGCGTCTGTTTCAGTTCGCGGAGAGGGAGGGATGCCCAGAGGCAGAGAGGAGAGGAAAGGCAGGGTGGCACGGGACTAGGCGGCGGGCCATGTGCTTTGGTCTATGCAGCTGAGGCTGGGGAGGAGAAATAGAGACAGAGCAGACAGTGGAAGGATCAAAAGACTTGGCCGTGCCTAGCATTTGCGGCGCGTATTTTCCGGCGCAGCTCGCTGAGAGCCAAAGCGGCGGTTGCCAGGCATGGCTTGGTGCCTGAGTGTAATGTGCTGGACCGTCAGAGGCTTTGATACTTTCAGATGTAGACTTGGCACTCGTGCACCGAAGCCGAGGCTTGCAGACAGCGCCAATGCGCTTTGGCCGCAAGGCGCAAGGCTCAGGGACAGCGCATTTGGCCAG